TACACTTTTTTATTGATTTTTCCATCAAATTCTGAATATTTAATGATGAAAATGGCTTGAAATTTCTGTGAAATTGTCCCTTCATAAAACGTTCCAACAAATGTACCGGAAATTACTTAAAAATTGTCAACAGTGCAGGAACTTCATGCAGAGACGTTTCATTTTCTGTCATAAAATCTTCCGCCCCAAGTGCCTCCCCAGTCCGTCAATACCCGCATTATATTTTCATCCTTTTTCCCCTGATTACTTTATACATTAGATGTGCTCCAAATCCAGTACTCTTTCTTGCCGGCATCTACTATTATACAAGCCGCGGTAACAGCCCGTCTCCAGAGACGCAAATTCTCATTTCCCCGTGTTTTTTTCCCTCGTTCCCTCTTTTCCCGCCTTCCGCATGGTCTCATCGAGAATTTCCGAGGTAAAAGTGGCCGTCGGACCCTTCGGGGGGAGGGAAAAAACACTGGATTGTAAGTCGGCGCGCCGGGTGCCTCTCGCTTGATCGCACCACGAAAACTCCCCGTGGTGTACGTCTTATCTTATCCGCTTGAGCGCTGAGCAAAACACGGATACGATAACCTTGGGCGCGTGGACGTGGAAGTCGCAAATCGGCGCAGGTGTTTCGTTGTGTTCACTCCGGCGAAAATGCCATCCAGCAAGAAAATCCTTCCTTGAAAAAACGGGTATCAAGAGCGGGGTAATTTAAGTTTAAACTATACACAGACTGCAAAAACCAGCGTCCTAAAGGCGTCCTAATTCAAGATAAAAATGAGTCTTATCAACCAACTGCGTAATGATAAATTCCAAAATTAAACCTAAATTCGTAACACGAACTCTAGAACTATTGAATATTCCCTTCCATTTTTGTTATTAATTGTAATGTTTATGAGAGTTCGTCCTCTGATACTATCGAGTTCCCGAAATTGTCGATTTAATTTTAAAAAATCCGAAACACAAGAAAATAAATTTAAAAAATAAATAATTAAATAAATAAATCTCTCTATATTACCAAAATCCAAATCGATTTCTGGTGATGAAAATTTGGTACTCGAAAATAAGAGTCAGAAACCAAGGGTCACAAGGGTCCAAAAAGTGTCACGAGAGTCAGATTAAGGGCCACAAGGGTCAGATTAAGGGTCGCAAGGGTCAAAATAAGGGTCATGGGGGTCATGTGGGGTTTTTTCTATATATTCAAAGGGTCACAAGGTTCCAAAAAGGGTCACGAATGTCAGATTAAGGGCCACAAGGGTCAGATTAAGGGTCGTAAAGGTCTAGATGAGGGTCATGGGGGTTATATGGGGCTCTCTATATTATGAAAGGGTCAGCAGGGTCCAAATAAGGGTCACGAGGGTTTCAATGAGGGTCAGATTAAAGGTCACAAGGGTGAGATTAAGGGTCGTAAAGATTTAAATGAGGGTCATGGGAGTAAAGATAAGGGTCAGAATAAGGATCATGAGGATTATATGGGGCTCTCTCTACATTCTCAAAGGGTCACCCGAGTTCAAGTAGAGGTCGCGAGGGTTATAATGAGGGTCAGATTAAAGGTCACAAGGGTGTAAGTGCGGGTCCCAAGGGTCAGAGTAAAGGTCTACATACGGGTCATGAGGGTCAAAATAAGACCATGTCCCACTATAAATAAATGAATGAATAAAGAAATAAATTGATAATTCAATAAAGACATAATGAATAAACGTAGACTATCACCACAACTGAGGAGATAACCTGAAGCTAAAAAAATCAGAAGATGCCGCACACTTCCCTTCACCAAGATGCTTTTGACGAAAGCGTTATAATCGATACTGAAACAAAAAGTGTTGTGAGCGGTGACCGGAATCGTGCAGCGGGCAAACTTAAAGTAATTAAACTGTGATATCATTAAGGAAACGGCGCCGAGACGTTATTCTATCGGTAAGGGTGGCGGTTGGGCGGCGAGGGGGTGGGACAGGGGGAAGAGTTAACTTCCATCCTTGCCTTTTCCTCTTTCACCTCCTTCCGTATCCCCGACGTCGGGGCCAAAATTATATTGAAATGTGGCTCGAGGCGGCAATCGTCGGGATGCCCTAACTGGGGTTAATAACCTCTCACCGTTTTGACGGATACCTGTATCTGGTAGGTGTGCTATATTCATCCGAAATGTGATGGGATTAAATTCTCAATATTGAGGGGGAATTTTCTTTCGGGGAGATGACTCGGTAATTTGAGGAGTTGACTGCAGTTGTTTTGGGGTATCGACAGTCTGTCAAGTGCTGGAGTGGTTGAACTCCACGTCGACTTTGATTTGATTATAGAGTGAATATATCATTATCCCGATATTTTCTATCAAAATGAGGGCCAAGACGGGATTTTTTCCGTCGGATACGGGAGGTGAAACCTTCAGAATCAGAATTCTATTGAATTAATCGTGATAATTACTGCATGGAGAGGCTATTCCAGCCAATTACAACGTGAATGACATATTCTGTAATAAAAGAACATTAAAACATCTGGAGCCACCACATTAGGTTTTAATTGCACATCTGAACTTTTGAATAATTTTTTATTCATTTAGACCGTTTCTCATTTCTCATTCCCATTTGTATTATATTTATTTGTTCAGTTTCTGATATTTCGGTGAAATATTAACATTTTGTTTTGATTTATGCATTTTTATTCAATTTATTTCAATTAATAAATTTAATAAAAATGGGTTTATTCATTTATTTTCATTAAATTTTAAACTATTTCAATTATTTGAATTCTGAATTCCTCAACTTGCGGCTGAAGAATTCCTCTCTCATTTTCCTTCATTCAAATCACATTTTGTACAGTATTATTATTTTTTCAAACATTCGTTGTTTATAAATAAATTAATTTAGTTATAAATTAATTTATTTAAATTGTTTTTGAAATTTTCGGAAACCTTATTTTTTCGAATCGATTTCTGGTAAAATTCTGAATATGAATAAATTTAATGTCAATTATTTATAAAAAATGCTCGTAATTTTCAAAAATTGCAATTTTCAAATTATTTCATCAATCTTTTACCCAAAAGTGAACCTTTTAATTTTTTTCACATTTTTAAAATCTTTTTTAAAGGTACAGTATCGAGATGCAAATTCAGACTTGCAAAATTTAAATAATAAAATGATTGTAGAATGTCCGGAAAAAAAGACAGTATTTCGATATCCTTAATTGCAATAATTACTTCAATCGTATTTCAGTCTCAGAAGATTCGTAGAATTGTCAAAATGAAAGTGACGATGACCATAGACGCATTTACCGTAAATTTCGGGGGATCTTCTTCATCACGTCCTTCCGCAGTTCAATTTATTACTGTTTTCCCCTGTTATCGTAAATTCATTATCATGAATTTACATGAAATCCCGAGAAATGCAGATCGAATAACAGAATAAGGGAAAAAATATCTTTGCAAGCAGGTGGTGTCTGACTACCTCTCTGAATTGACAAATATCCCTCTGGAGTCCTCTTAGATTCATCACACAAACAACTCGAGCGAGGCAACTCAAGAACAAGCAATTTATTTATCTCCAGACTGAGATACGAGAAAAATCCATAGGACAGATTTCACGTAATTGAATGGATGGAACATCTGAGCTCAGCAACGTTCAGGTGTTTCACAGACTCGTGGAGAATCCCTGTGAGTGAATCACTTTGAACGATGATTGTTCTTGGTTTGAAAGAGAAAAAGAATGACGAGGGTTCAATTGTCGAGGGATAAGAACATTCCGGAGTAAATACTTTTGTGGAGGGATGAGACTTTTAGGCCTCTTAGGCCACTTTTTGTGACAGTTCCAGTGAAATTTTACGGAATGTCGTCATTGAAAATTCACAATGGATAGAAAAATCAAGTAAATCAATTGAGTAATAATAATGAAATGTAATAATTATAAAACTGAAAAATCAATTATTTGAAATAATACTAATTCTTTTCAGTAAAATATAATGACAGTTTTTCTTTCATTTTAATTCAAAATTGAAAGTTATTGTCAAAAAATAGAAATCACAATGTTTAATCTCTCAATTAAATCATTATTAAACAATTGAATTTTAATTCAATTATTCAATGGAGATCAGAAAAAAATCTGAAAAAAAATGTAAATATTTATTTTTATTTTTAAACGATTGGAAATGTAAATAAGTTGAGGAATTCTCGTAAAAAAAATTTAAATTTCGTTGAATTTTCGGTGAAATTTGAAATTCCAATAAGAATCTTGTTGTTACCAGCTGGTCGAGAGTGGCAACTGGGTCACTCGGTCTTCATCGTCCGGAGCAGCACCTCTCGGACACTTGTCACACGCACGCACGTACACAGATTAATTTCTACTCCCGATCGGTCATTGACTCTCTTTGGATTTTCAGTCGCTCGTGTGCCATTTTCATGATGAATGAGAAATTTAGTGAACACTTTCATTCAAAATTTTCAACTTTACAGAGAATTCGACGAATTCCAAATTTGTGAAACAGAAACACGAGGATTATTCCGAGCTAAATTTCATTGAATTTTTAATTGTTTGGTAATTTAAGAAGAGTTACCCGAGTTTTTTTCATTTCTGTTCATTTTCATGGAATAATTAGAATGAAATTCATCATTTAAAATAAAATATTATTATAGAATGCTTGGAATGAATCAATAACCCCTTCCCTCCGCCTGAAGTGTGGATCGAATGACAATTGAATGATATATTGATTACGATGGAGTTATAGTCCGACCAAAATTTATTTTCCCTTCGGAAAACATAGTTTTCCTTTGTTTTCATTGCAAAATCAACAATTCGACAATATAAGCCATAGAAACTCGTTACCTGCAAATAAGTTCATGCCAGAAAAGATGTTTTGGTTGACTATAGTCTTTTGCCTGGCTTGAATGAAATTCCCTCCAACTGTACGGGAAATTTCAGCCAAAAAAATTGAACAGTGTGTTGTTATCATTATTGAAAAAGTTTTATTCCAAGAAATACAAAATCTTCACATCTTTAGTCCCTCGTAAAGAAGAAAGAGAGTGGTCACCAGTGGTGAGAAGACGCAGCAGCGGCGTGGTGAGCAACGAGATGCTCTGCCTTGGCGTGAGCCACTTCAGGAGTATCCACCACACGTCCATCGTGTCCGATAGGTGCAGCCAATGGGTAACCATAGGAGTTTACGGGAGAGTATTGGTACACAACAGCATCGTGAGCGTGTGCGTAGCCCGACTTAGCGGCCTCCTGACGAATCAAAGCCCAATTTATCAGATTAAGGCTATTTAGCCATTTTCAGCAAATTTTATTTTTTCATGTTCAAGGAAAATACTATAAGTTTTTTCGCTGATAGCAGAACATAAAACTATCTCCTTTGATGTTAAAAAAAATTAATCGCAATGGTCTCGCCAGAAATAAATAAACAAATTTTTCCTTATACACGGGCTCTTATGGGAATAGAATAGAATTCATTTTATTGATGCTACTGTTTTGCTACAGTTTTACATCTGCACAAGCCGTGTACATACTTCCACCAAACCATCAAGATAGAATATATCTCATCTTGTAACAATATTAGCATTAATATCACATATTTTTAGCCTCAGTCACTGGCGTTTGGCGAATTGGAATAGGAACTTGGCTCTTATGCGATTTATGTTGAAATTTATAATTCACCTACTAGAAGATTCTAAAAATAGAAGGCAATGTGCAAAACTATACTGAATCGAATGACCAGAAAAAAATTGGGGTATCCGCGCAAAAAGAGGAAATATTTGAAAGATTATGTCCCACATAAGCGCATGTTAGCGCATGCGTTCGGTGCGTTTTGTCCACTCCATTTCTAAATAACAAACGTGGGTTGGTGGATTGAAATTATTATCAAGATAAAGGGAATAACTTTCATCATCTCTCAGTTGAAAAAAATCATTTTTTTTTGAAAAATTGCGATTTTGGATAAACATTCTTAATTCAGAGTCCGGCTATAACAAGTAACCAAGCTGCAAAAAGTAATGACAAACCTGGGCATGGGCTTGGAGGTGGGCAGCCCTGGCAAGTGCTACCTCAGGGGTCTCGATCACACGTCCATCGTGTCCGAGAGGTGCAGCCGATTGATATCCGTAGGAGTGGGCAGGAGAGTAGTGGTACACAACGGAATCGTAAACGTGGCCATGACCTGCCTTGGTGGCTTCCTAATGAATTGAAATAAAATGTTTTATTAGTGTTGTGTCAGCTACTGCAGATTATGGAGGACATTGATGCTAATCATCAACAAATTACGATAACATTAGCATTTTGTTTGGAATTCGCTGAATCTTTAACATCGTTGGACATTGGATTCAATAAATTGCCAACTCTTAGTGAGTTCGAAACGTCGGCACAGAAAGAATCAATTTTGTTATGATTCTTTCTTTTGAATTAATTTATTAAAACCGCTGTGATGACCGTTATGGCTGGGAGAAGTTGAAGAGAACAAGATAAGGGAATTTTATAGTGTCAGAATGTGTAACAGACGTGAAGTAATTCATATAATTCATGTTTCGCTTTGATTGCATGTAAATAAAAATTCATGAGTTCTCTTGATGAGAAGTGGATTCACCACCCCCATGGAAAAATATATAAAAAATACGTTTAATATTGGCCAATTTAATTAATTTTCCCACTATATATAAGATTTATATAAAAGATAAATTTATGTATGTTGAATATATATTTTATATAACTTTTATATATAAATCAGGCCAATTTCATACATGAAATATATAATTTTCAGAATATACATTTTTCCGTTTGGGCAGTCAAAACGTTGGAAAAGAGAACGCACTTGAAATTGTACTCGAATTTGGAATTTTAAATTGCTGTGAACCACAATTTTTCGACAATTCCCACTGCCTTCACAGCAAAAACGAATATCTGAATTTTAAACATGAATTAAAATGTCTAGGCACCTCTCCGTCTGAAAATCAGAGAATTTTTCATTTTATTCAGACGTTTTTTATTGTGTGAAAAATGTGTACAAAAGGTGAGTGAAATTCAGACATTCGTTTTCGCTGTGTTCTATCTATCTAATAGTCTTTCAGAGGAAGCAAGAGGGGATATCAAACCTGTGCGTGAGCTTGGAGATGAGCGGCCTTGGCCTGGGCTACCTCGGGGGTCTCAATCACACGTCCGTCGTGACCGAGGGGAGCTGCGGGTCCGTGGTATGCGATGACTGGGGCGTAGGCGTACGCGTGGTGTTCGGCGTATGAGAGTGCAGGTGCATAGGCATAACCGTAGGCATGTTTGGAGGCTTCCTTGGCGTGGGCCGCCAAATGCTCGGCCTTAGCGTGAGCTACTTCGGGGGTGTCCACTACTCGGCCGTCGTGGCCAACCGGTGCAGCACCGTAAAAGTAGCTGGGGGAAGCCAATGATGTGGCGACTGTTGTCAGGAGGATCATCTAAATGAGAAAGAATGATGATATAAGATAGATGATTGAAGTTTCTATTTAGTCCCGGGATAAAATGATAAGGGCAAACCAATTGAATCCATCATTTACAATTCATTAATTTGCCATTTTCAACAATTGTTTAACGAGATTAAATGAATAATTCAGTAGTGAAGGGGTAAATGGAGATAAGTGGACTTATCTCCCTTTACTACTTCGCTACTGAATTCATTGAATGAGTATGACTAATTCATTGAATTAATTATTCATCATTTATAATTTAATTATTTGATTTGCAATTTTAAAAAATTATTTAACAAGAATGAATGTGGATAAGAAAGAGACGATTCCGTGGATCGGGAGAAGGGGGAAAATTTCACTTATGATTCTGCTAGAAAATCACGTGCAGTCGAGGAAATTATCGCATTCGAAAGTGACATATATCTTCTTTTACTCCTAAATGACGCTTACGAGTTGTAAATTAGGGATTACAGTGCAACTTCGTTTTCACGGTGAAACTTTAATCTGCTGTTGTTCCCCGGATGACGAGAGAAATACATATTTTTAATAACTTTTTGAAGTTTGAAATAGGGTAGTTTCACTTTTTACTACTTACAAAAGTCTTCATGATGATTCTTATTGTTGGTTAAACGCTCAACGAAACGTGATATTTTTTTATTTAATGACTGCACCACTGGGTTGTTCCAGTATTCGCTGACTGCTGACTGCTGTAGTTTACCGAGTTAGGACCCCCTTTATATACGTGACTATCGGGTAGGGAGTTGCTGAAAAATACAGGAGAGTTTACAATCGTGGGGGGAGGAGGGGACCTCAGGAAGAGTGGGTTATTTGGACCGAAAGGCGGATTTGACATTGACATTAGGTCGGCGGGAAGGGACGGCGGTTCGATCCTTCCTCTTTGGTACAGGTCTCGGTGCTGGTTAGTGACGGGGTCAGGTTGGCGCAGCGGGAAAGGCCTCTCGCTCTTCTTCTATTGAGACTTCTATCTCTCTTCGTGGTTTGGAATTGTAACGCATTTCAATATTGAAAATGCTTAGTGATGCCATCGAGATTACACGATAAAATTTTTGGATAGATCATCACGGTCAGAAAAAACATCGAAAGCTTTGGAATCGTCGCAATCTCGAAAAACATGGGATCGGTGCATCTCGTCACGATTTCGGGAGGACTTATCTGGCCTGGGTCTCGATTTTTCGTTTTTTTTTTTATTATATCGCCGATAGATCGTAACGATATATCGGCGATATAAAAACGCTATTGCGCTACTGCGAAATATTCAGGTAAAAATGTGTCGATACACATTTTTTTCTCATTATTTGTTTCAGTTTATCAATTTCCAATAAAAAATATTGTTTTAATGAATACAAAACCTTCAAATAAAACATTTTATTGTATTCAAATCATCCAATACTTGAAACAAATTAAAAAAATAATCACACAGATACACGGAGAGAAATTTTTGATAAAAATTATCCTACCGTTCTATAAAAGTGTATCATGAGTCATCGTTTCCTCATTTCTATCCCGAAATTTAGCCAAAATTAATATGTGATGATCAAATTTTATTTTGCGTTAGAGAAATTTTATCCTGATGAAAATAAAAATTACCGTGCCGGTAGAGTAAAAATTACTGTACCGGTAGGATAAAATTTATTATACGTCAGGATAAAATTTCTCCAACGTAGAATAAAATTTGATCATCATATATTAATATTAACTAAATTTCGGGATAGAAATGAGGAAACGATGACTCATGATACACTTTTATGGAACGCTAGGATAATTTTTATCAAAAATTTCTCTCCGTGTATATTTATATATAAATAAAATACATGTTTATTGATAATGGAATATCCTATGTTAACGATGTCGCAATCCTGAGACAGTTTCGATATACGAAGAATGGCATGACGAAAAATTAGATCAATTTATGAAATCGACTGAGAGACAAGAGAAATGCCAACGGCGAGGTCGTCAAGCCCGTCTCTATCCCAAGTTACCCGAGATTATGTTACATATATTGCATCCATCAAAATATCGTAATGACGGGGAGATTAGTCCGTCATTGGATCACAATGATGTAATTTATAGCGCCCGAAAGTTATTCAATCTTCAGTCCAGACTACGACTATTGGGAACCCTGCGTGCCTTTCCTTCTGGGCGAGGCATGTGGGCGGTACAACGGAACCGCTAGTTTTTATCTCGTGAGGTAATCACGAGACATGGCCGTCTCAACAATTTGTGGCATTTGATTTCCTCTTTTTATCATTATTTATATTTTATTATTCATTTTATTTTTAACGTGATTTGGCTTCAGCCTTATTTATACTTTATTTGTCCACATGGAGAAGATTTTTGCATCTCCAGATGTCATTGTGGACTGAACTATTCCCAAGCTATCCTCCACAGAAATTTAATAAAAAAATAATGAATTTGCCAGACAATTCTATTGGATTTCTATTGAAATTTCTATTGAGATATTTTCTATAGAATTTTCTCGGCTCAAATTTTCCAAATTTTTTGTTTGATTTTCTTGACGAAAAGAAAAGAAAAATAGAATTAAAAAATTTGGAAAATTTGAGCCGAGGAAATTCTATAGAATATTTTCTATGGAAAAACTTTGACAGAATTTAGAGAATCCCCTAGAATTTTCTATCAAATTTTTTCGTACATAATTTTTTATTGAAAAAAATATCGCTCTACAATTACCGTTTCATATTGAAATTTTCCGAGACTTTCTAGATAAGTTCTCTCAAATTTTTATTTTTATGCATCACATGCCCTTTTCTGTCATGTGCATTCAATATACTGTTCGATATTTTTTGAAATTTCATAGAAAATATGGTAATTACTGTCACGAGATTGATATTGAATCTGATTTAATGGCAAAATAATGTTAAAATTTCAAGTTTTAGGTAGAATTCTCGAAAATTCATGAGTTTTCAGTGGCAGTGAAACAAAGTTTCACAACTTGATTGTATTTTCAAAGAAACATAAATATTTAAAAACAAAATGACATGAATTTTCAATTTTTCCTGATTTTTTCCAATTTTTGCGGAATAACTAAACTGAAAAATCAAGTATTTTATCAATTTTCAGATCATTCGAACAGAAAATCAATGAAATATTTGATTTTTCAATGACAAGATTTCCTGAAATTCCAGTGGGAATAAAACATGATAAAAATTTCCGGGATTTGACACGGAAAATTTTCAAGTGTAATTCATATCGATTATCGAAGTTAACTTCCGGCGAAAATTCTAGAGTCCACAGTTTTATGGGGGCAGGGGACTCTTAATGGCAGCAGAGTCCATCGGAGCAAAAAGGGAGTACCATGCAAATAGCGCAATTAAGACATTGAAGTGTTTTCGAGATAACGCCCTGTGCTCATCGTCTTTCGCCGGTATTCGCTGTGCTTTATCCAATGTCTGACCTCTCGAGGCCACTTCTACTTACACCCTTCTACGTTCATAATTGCTGGAGGAGCGAGCTAATATGTTTCTTTCGTTGAACACGTCCAGGGGAGTTGTAAGTCGCTTTCAACGAGGCTCGTCGTATTGAACGAGTGATCGATGAAAATAGGAAAATCGGGTTTATGTATTTGAGGGGCATATTTTATGTATTGGAGCAGCGGAAAGGCGAGATTTCGCCGAGTTAATTGAATTTTTAGGCGGGATATGAATATTCAGTGCTAGATTTCGTTGAATTTCCATTGATTGGAAATTCAAGAATATATTTACCTGAATTTTCCTGGGTTCCATGAATTTTCATGGAATAATTCAACCAAAATTTACAATTTTCGGCATTCTTTAAACGAAATTTTGAATTTTTAGCCACGGCATTCTTTGAAATTCTAGTGGATCAATAATATGATGGGAATTTTTAAGAACTGCACTGGAAATTTTAGCCATAAATGTTTAATAGGAAAGAACACTGTGAGAAAAAAATAGAAATTTGAAATTTCATTGGAAGTTCAATGAACAGCAAGATTTCTCAACTTACGTGAATTTTCAATCAAAATATAAATACTAATATGAATATGAGTTTTCAATTGATCAAAAATTCAAGAATGAATTTACTTGAATTTCCTTGGTTTCTATGAATTTTTATGGAATAATTCAAATGAAATTTCTAATTTTCACCGCTTTTTCCATGAAATTTCGAGTTTTCAGTCACGAAATTCTTTGAAATTTCAGTGGATCAATAATGTGATGGAAATTTTCATGAACTATAACAGAAATTTCAGCCATGACTGTTTAAGAAGAAAGTACACTGTGAGAAAAAAACTGAATAACGAATTTTATAGCAACTCCAATGAAATTTCAAAATTTGAAACTGCCTCACGAGAAAAATCACCAAAATTGCTTAAATTTTCAATCAGAACATCAAAAATTCATTACAAAATTTCACTAAATTTCTAACTGAAAATTAAAAAAAGTATTCCCGTGAATATTCCCAATTCCTATGAATCTTCATGAAATCATTGAACTTAAATTCACAGTTTCCATCGAATTCTGATGATAATTTCCCAAAAGTTTGCCAAAAATATCATCTAAAAATTTTCAACACTTTTATTGTTCATCTCCATGAGTATTAACAATGATTTTGAGTCATGGGATATTGCAAATCAGCATATAATACTAGATAATTGTCAAATCGCGACGTTTTGATTTTTATTACTAAATCTTCCTCAGGCACTGCAAAGATAAAAACACATACCACTAAAATCACGACAGAAGAAAACGAAAACAGTGTATCTATAAACTCTAACCTCAAATCTATACACAAAAACCTCTAATTTCTGTGAAATAAATAATACATCACCACTAATTTCCGGAAATTAGTGGTGGTTTTGTTTTTATCTTTGCAGAGCCTGAGGAAGATTTAATAAAAATCGAAACGTCGCGATTTGACAATTAATTAGTACTATATACTGATTTCCAATATCCTACGACTCAAAATCATTATTTCCACCACTGTACTTGACATAAATCCATTCCTGACACTTCTGCAATCCTTTTTTCCTCAATTAACAGTTCCTTCCGACAAGAATCATCCCCACCAAGTCCCCGAGACGCCCAAAAGCCGTCGTATCTCCCCCAAAGGGAATAAAACCAAAATAAACTAGTGGATTGGGCTGTTGGCCGCTCCCTGCGCTCGCTCCCATTGCGGGTGGGTTGGTAGCGGATATATTCATGTGGGTCTGACCCGTCGGAGGGGTCGCACCAACAACTTCCCGATATTATTATTCCTCCCATTTTGACTAAAAGAATCCTTTTCAACTCTCAATACTCTGTTTATTTTTTCAGGAGAAACCCTTGTCTGTGTTCGTTGCTTTTTTGTCATTTTGAAATTTTCTTTCCGGGAAAACTCAAAAACCACTAAACAGATATCAGCCAAAATCTAATCCGCTCTAAGTTGAATGAAAACCTATCGATTGAAAAAAAAAAGTCAAATCGGACAATTCGTTCACGAGAAATCGTTAACCAAAATTTTGACCACGTATATACCTAGTAACACACACACACACACAGACAGACATTTTGTTTAAAATTGCCTAGGAACATCGAAAAGACCTTGATACATGGAGATTTGATGAAAAATTGATTTTTGATTTTCGGGGCCATTACAATAACTTCCCTGCCGGGAAGTTAAAAATGGAGAGTTTGAAATAAAAAAGAACAAGCTTATTGATCATGCCAAGAGGCGCACGTAACGGCCGAACGGAAACTCCACACCAGATAGTAAGAAAAGGCCAGCTTATCGACACTCCCTTCCTCCCCCGACACATATATTCCGCTGGAAAAATGGGAAAAGGCTTTTTCGAACTCTGTACATAACATACTCCATTCCGCGAGAGTAGAATGGTAAACATGAAAGGAATATTCATCGCCAAAGAATCGGCCCGATGGATCGGTCGATTCTACTATAGACCGAGGGGGGGATGAAAAAACTGTTACGGGAAAGGATGAAATGTGCTTCGCTGGGGATACAATTTTTTTCTCCATTCCCATCAAATGTCAATAAACCGTCAATCGGTCATGTAAAGTGCCCTCTTCCACTTCCTATTTCTGTAATAGAATGGGATTATTTTTTTTCGCTTTTTTTGTTTCAGAATCAATGAAAATACAACGAGGTCACAGTTTTTGGCGTATTACAGCTTCGCATCGAAGGCGAGCACTTCTGTCGGGTGGCCTGTGAAGGGTGGAAAGCCTGTTGAGAACTCAGGTGAGACAATTATAGTACATTAGAGTACAAGGGCACAAATTTCGTTTTCGTGAGAAGACCCGGTAAACCGCGATTCTAACCTCGCTTCGCTCGGTTTGATCGCGGTTTACGGGCCTTCTGACGAAAAATTGCATTCATCACACGGTCCAAAAGTATTTTCTGACGAATGTGGCTTTGTAGGCCGAGCCGAAGGCGAGCTATTAACTATTTTGTCATTCATGCCCGTTAAGTGGCGTTTTCGTGGTGTGTTTTAGAACCCGTAAGTGGGATTTACCAGGCCATGGGCCGGTAAGTAAAAACTAGCCCCGATTTCACGATTTACGGGCCATGCCCTGTTAAGTAAGACGTGAAGTGAGTCCCTCTTACACTATAGCTCGTGCGGCTGAACTATAGTTTGCCACCAAAACCCAAAATTCACGAGGAAAATCGTAACAAATTCCGTTAAACAAAAGAGCGAAATGAATTTCATTATACTCGACAGTGACGAAGAGGAGTCACAAGACATTTTTAGTGAAGTGAATAATACCAGTGACGACGCAGCAAGTACGTCAGCACAAATAGTTGAATTTTACCTTGTGACACATTCTAATTCATTTTTTCATTCCAGATCGGTCCGTTAATTTATAATTTATAATGTATCATTTGCCTCTTTTCAATTTTGTTTATTTGGTGTTTCTTCAGTGGGGGGGGCGAAGCCCCCCCGCAACCCCGCCCCCCACCGGGGCCTGCAGCCCCTGGACCCCGCTCTTCCCCCCCACACCCCCGGGCATTCATGACAAAAAATAGTATGTGCCACTCGGCCCGTAGTGTCGGTTTGCGATTCGTGTGAGTTAGCAGCACTCGGCGCGGTAAGGCTATCTTACCGACGCCTCGTGCTGCTAACTTCACACTCATCGCAAACCTCCACTTACGGGCCTTGTGACACAATAGTATATTTCAGCACGTGTGGGGCAATTTCGTCTTTAACGTGTGTGGGGTTTACAGCATGAGCCGAAGGCGAGTGATGTAACCACACACGTTAAGGACGAAATTTCCCAACAAGTACTGAACAAAATTTTATGTCACGAAGCCTGAAACCGGACGCTTCGCGTCTCGTGTCTAATTCAGCCGGTTTCAGGTATGAGTGGCATAAATAACTATTTCGACGAATGTGAAGTTTACAGGCCGAGCCGAAGGCGAGGTCTGTATTCACATTCGTTGAAAACGAAGTTTATGCCCGAGTGATCTATACTATTTTATGCGAAGCGCAGCGTGCGATAAACCGGACTTATTACACGGTGTGCCATAAAATAAATAACATGAAATAACATAAAATATACTGAAACTAATCCACTAGTCAATAATTCAAGATGAACTTGATAAAATAAAAAACGAATGGTGTTTTGCCAAATTTGATTTTTGCTGTGGTCGATTGATTTCTCTGTTCATACGGTTTACAACCTCCAGTGAACCTCAGAAATTGTAAAGTTTTCTCCGCACAGAAAAACCTGAAGGGAAATTACGGTTAAGAAGTCGTCTTTTATTTTATTGAAGCGTAAATTACGATGACATGAACGTATTCGTAAATTGCTGTAATTTTTGCCTGTATTTTACGTTTACTTGTCCGTAATTAACGACGATGACCAAAAAAGTTATTTCAAGCGTAAAATACGAGGTTTTTTTTTGTAAATTACGCATAAGTAAATCGTAAAATACGTTTTTATTAAGATTGTAGTTTCTGATTTCTCAAGCGTGAAATACGCTGAGTGAAACGTAAAATACGCTTTGTTGGCCGTAATTTTGTAAAATACGCCTTTTTGAAGACCAAATTCCGATTTTTATGGCAGAAAAAACCATCAGACATAATTTTAAACTAGTATAGACATAACTTAAATTTTAATGATGAAAATCTCAAATAAATTCTAAACGGAAGTTGATATGAATAAAAATATTCTGGTTGAGTTCGTGCTTAATTGACAGTTTAGTATTATTGATAAGAATTTATTTAAAAATAGCAACATAACACAGAGTCTCCTGAGAAAATGAGTTTTTCGAGATCAGAGAGAAGATTAAAATGTGGAAAAAATGTAAAAAAATAGAAAAATAAATAAAAATGTTATGCCTCATACGAAAATCATTGTCAGTATCAAATTCTAACGAGATACTATTGTCTTATTTACTAAAGATGAAAGAAACGTGAAGTTGTTTTATATCGAAATATCTCAAAACTGCCTGACTGCTAATCCTCAATTCTGATTGGTCAATAAGTCCCGTGAAGTAGTCGCTGAAAAAAATCTCGGGTATTTTCACATTCTTCAAATGCCAAAAATTTTTTCTGCTCCATATTTTTCAGTTGTTCATGTGTGAAGTTCATCTTTATATTAAAATATATCTAAATTACTTAATTGTTGATCATGATAAAAAAAACATAGTATTTCTAAATTTTTTTAACTCACAAATTATTCTTAACTTCCCAAATTTTCATTTTTTTCTTCATATTTATCATACGCATAATGATCAATTGTATTTCGCGCCTCCTCCTCAGATCACCAAGTGTAGTACCCCCCCAAAGTGCCGATGGCGCCACAAGGTTGACAGTAAAGTTATAAAAATTTTCCAGTGTGGACCGTTTCCTGCTCCACATTCCGCNCTTGCTTCTCAGATTTTCGTACATAAATTTTAAACTCCAGAAAATTCATGAAAATTCTTCGGTTTCCCAAATAATTCGAGAACAGTCTTCGAAGATCTAGGGTTACCTGGAAAACTGAAATTTTCCGCAGAATTCAAAAATTTTTTTCAGTTGCCTAGGAAATCAATTCACAACCCTCCCCTCATTTTTCAGCAGTTACAGATTTTAATCGGATTATTTTAAAAAAGTAAAAAAAAAGAAATTAATCGAAGATTAAAAATTATTCATTGACGTTCACTCTCAATGACTCTGAGTGACGTTCTCTCGTTTCACTCTTCATTCTCTTAATTCTCTTTAAGTCATTATCAATATTTAAAAAACATCTGACTATATGAAGTTTAATAAATTCGATTTCTTCATTTTCACAACGACAAGATAAGCGCGCGCACAGATCTAGTTTAAGAAAATAATTGTAGAGAGAATTTGATGGATTAATTTTTTAGAATCCATGTAAAAAATTATCAATAACAAATAATTTTGGTTTTTACATTTTAAATTTATTTTTCCTTTTTACACCCAATGACTTACGTGAAGTTTGGATACACTACTTTGAGCGTAAATTACATTTATCAAAGAGGAAATACGCTTGTCAAAACGTAATTTACGTTCAGGTTTTTCATTGTGTCCACTCTATCTCGATAACTCGAGTTAAGGGTCACTAGTCCCCCCGAATTTCCGTTGCTAGCAGTAATAAGGCTCCTTCCAATGAAGAGGATATACGCCTGCTTTTGAGATTAGCTTATGTGTGGTGAACACCACAGGCCATAGGCAGGAACGATGATACGAGTAAAGTGCCCGTTGGCCATTGCCACGAATCCCCTTTCGCCTTTCGCCGTTCTATAAGCGATCAAGGCATGAGCCGATGTTAAACTCAAGCCATGGTATAGGTACATCGCATGGGGTAACAGCTTGCACATCGGGGTCGTCAAGTGCAGGCCTGGTCCTTCCTCTCGGATCATCATGCAAGAACCCATCTCTGAATTAACTCCATGCAGAGGACCGTGCGGGCAGTAGTGCTCACCTGCCTAAGTGAATAAATTCACTTGTTGTTTTATTGGCCTCATTGAGTAGTGTGAGCCCCTACGGTGGCCTCTCAGCTGAGGGTGTGAGGGCTTTTGTTCGTTCAAATGTTGTCTCCGGTCAGTTGAATGAGGTGTGTGTGTGTGGAGGGGGCGTCGGTTATCGCATTTTAATCGCTTTCACTCTAGGGATCTTTTGAGAGTTATGATGGGAGTAATTATGATAGAATTATGATTGCCGTCATCATTATATACACTGTTATAATAGTTTGCCAAAATTTTTTAGCGGATTTAATTATCATTTAACATTTTAAAGGTCTTTATTAACATATATAATAATTAAGTACATCGAGTAACAGTATCACAATGAGCTTGGACTTAAGAATAGTTAGTGCAGCTGAAGCCCGAAGGCTATTACATGAATTTTGCTTGAAGATTGCGAATTTTTATTTTGGGGCGCTTAACGAGTATGGGAAAAGAGAATATGTTGCGTAGGGAAAAATTTAAGGCTCAAAGAAAACGACCCTATTTCTGAAAAAAAAACCCTATTTCCTAATTACCACTGAAATTGCAAGGAATTTTTTTTTTCGTTATTGAACATTCAGAATTTCGTGGAAAAATGAAAGAGAATTGTAAATTTGAGTTTCATTTCTTCCTGAAAATGAATAGAAATCTAGGAAATTCAAGTAAATATATTCTTCAATTTTCACAACCAATTTAACAGCTCTAGGGATCTTTTGAAAGTTATGATGGGAGTAATTATGATAGAATTATGATTGGCGTAATTATTATATACACTGTTAAAAAATTTTGTCTGAAATTTTTAGCAAATTTAATTATCACTGAAATTCCAAGGAATTCGTTTTTTTTTCGTCATTGAAAATTTAGAATTTCGTATGTCGAGGAATTCACAATTGACGATTATAGGGACATATGTTAAACATGCACTTTTTAAAAATTTTTATCATATTCTATATGCACTGAAATTTTAACGAATTTCTTCATTGAAAATTTAGAATTTCACCGGAGGATCAATAAGAATTGTAAATGTAAGTCAAATTATTCCCTAAAAATTAATAGAAATTAGTAATATTTCGGTAAAAATATTGTTAAATTTTTAGTGAATTCAAAATTTAGCGTAATTTGGCCCTGGATATTCATGTTTTTATTGAAAATTCAAATACGTTGTGGAAATCTTGTCTTAAGGATATTCAAGTATCTCTTACAGTTTGGTATAGACCACCATATAGATTCAATTCAATTACGTCAATTAAATTATTTCAGTATGTGAAATTATGTCAATTAGATTATGT